CTGTATCGCCAATATCTGCGTCTTGCTAATATCTGTGTCTTGCTAATATCTGTATCGCCAATATCTGCGTCTTGCTAATATCTGCGTCTTGCTAATATCTGTATCGCCAATATCTGCGTCTTGCTAATATCTGTGTCTTGCTAATATCTGTATCGCCAATATCTGCGTCTTGCTAATATCTGTGTCTTGCTAATATCTGTATCGCCAATATCCGTGTCTTGCTAATATCTGTGTCTTGCTAATATCTGTATCGCCAATATCGTGTCTTGCTAATATCTGTGTCTCACTAATATCTGTATCGCCAATATCTGCGTCTTGCTAATATCTGTGTCTTGCTAATATCTGTATCGCCAATATCCGTGTCTTGCTAATATCTGTGTCTTGCTAATATCTGTATCGCCAATATCTGCGTCTTGCTAATATCTGTGTCTTGCTAATATCTGTATCGCCAATATCTGCATCTTGCTAATATCTGTGTCTTGCTAATATCTGTATCGCCAATATCTGCGTCTTGCTAATATCTGTGTCTTGCTAATATCTGTATCGCCAATATCTGCGTCTTGCTAATATCTGTGTCTTGCTAATATCTGTATCGCCAATATCTGCGTCTTGCTAATATCTGTGTCTTGCTAATATCTGTATCGCCAATATCTGCGTCTTGCTAATATCTGTGTCTTGCTAATATCTGTGTCTTGCTAATATCTGTATCGCCAATATCTGCGTCTTGCTAATATCTGTGTCTTGCTAATATCTGTATCGCCAATATCCGTGTCTTGCTAATATCTGTGTCTTGCTAATATCTGTATCGCCAATATCCTTGTCTTGCTAATATCTGTATCGCCAATATCTGCGTCTTGCTAATATCTGTGTCTTGCTAATATCTGTATCGCCAATATCTGCGTCTTGCTAATATCTGTGTCTCGCTAATATCTGTATCGCCAATATCTGCGTCTTGCTAATATCTGTGTCTTGCTAATATCTGTATCGCCAATATACGTGTCTTGCTAATATCTGCGTCTTGCCAATATCTGCGTCTTGCTAATATCTGTGTCTTGTTAATATCTGTGTCTTGCTAATATCTGTGTCTTGTTAATATCTGCGTCTTGTTAATATCTGCGTCTTGTTAATATCTGTGTCTCACTAATATCTGCGTCTCACTAATATCTGTATCGCCAATATCCGTGTCTTGCTAATATCTGCGTCTTGCTAATATCTGCGTCTTGCTAATATCTGTGTCTTGCTAATATCTGTGTCTTGCTAATATCTGTGTCTTGCTAATATCTGTGTCTTGTTAATATCTGCGTCTTGTTAATATCTGCGTCTTGCTAATATCTGTGTCTTGCTAATATCTGCGTCTTGCTAATATCTGCGTCTTGCCAATATCTGCGTCTTGCTAATATCTGTGTCTTGTTAATATCTGCGTCTTGCTAATATCTGTGTCTTGCTAATATCTGCATCTTGCTAATATCTGTCTTGTTAATATCTGTCTCACTAATATCTGCGTCTCACTAATATCTGCGTCTCACTATTATCTGTATCGCCAATATCCGTGTCTTGTTAATATCTGTGTCTCGCTAATATCTGTGTCTCACTACTCTTAAAATTTCTTTGCCTGTACTTGCATTATAATCTATTTCTATTTTTTTAGCCAAATTTCACACATATCTTGAAAAATACACATTTTTAATAATGAAGATATCACAATTTTTAAAATGACAAAAAAAAATAGTTTTTAGCCACAACTTGGTTGAGATTTCAAAATGGTTGATAATAATTTATTTAAGTCTGAAGAAGAAGTTTGAAAAAACATATGTGTATGTTTCACAGATACAAACATTGTTGTATCTCTGCCACAATTCATTCTTCCAGTTTTAGATTCAATCCTGGGATTTAAGTTGATTAAATATATTCCCATAAACTAGACTGGATTTTAAGTAATATTTTCACCAAATATTTCGATCAATGTGCATGGAAGGCACACCAGTTGATAGATTTTTTTTTCACAAATTATTTTTCAAACAAGAAGAATTGATACTGAGAAATTCAATTTCACAGTGCAAACAGATAATCTAAATTTAACAAGTCATTGAAAATGACAAAGTCCCCGTTAAGTTCTCTTTGTGCTCGTCATATTAAAGCGGAGGGGTTGTCGCGAGCGTGTCCTTGAAACTTGAGTTCCAAGTGGCGTCACTAAACCACTGCATGTGCATATGTCCCACATAAGGTACTAGGCACATGCAAAGAATGAACGGAATCGGTCCACAGGATTCTGAAATATGACGTTGGATAGACTGACGCACGGATAGACGGACACACGGATGGTCGGACGGACAGACTCAGGAACTCACGGACGGTCGGGGACATGTATCCTAACATGTATGATCTATGTACTAAATTTGAATGAAAACTGACAAAGCATGTCCAAAATACAACATTTTCAAAAAACAAGATGGCTGCCAGTCGGCCATCTTTGATCCAATTGTGAAATAAAACATCATGGACATGTATCCTAACATGTATAATCTATGTACCAAGTTTGAATGAAAACTGACAAAGCATGTCCAAAATACAACATTTTCAAAAAACAAGATGGCTGCCAGTCGGCCATTTTGAATCGAATCGCTAAACCACTGCATGTGCATATGTCCCACATAAAGTACTAGGCATTTTGCAATGAATGAACGGAATCGGTCCAAGGGATTCTGAGATATGACTCCGGACGGACGCACGCACGAACGCACGGACACGAACGGGGACTTATAATCAACAATGCAAATTATATTCTTCAGGGAGGCAGCATACTATTCTTTATAGTTCTTATTAACCAAAAATATATATATTTATTTTTATATTTGTACAATTGTTATTGAGAAAACATTTTTTTTGTAAACTGAAAAAAATTTGTATTTTTAAGAAAACTTATTATTATTATTATTATTACTATTATTATATACTTTTCACTTGAAAAAATGGAAGAAATAGTTAATGAACTGGAGGCAAGAAATGTACACATCAAATAAGAAACTGTTGAAGGCAACTATTGAATGCATGAAAGAGCTATATTTAAGAGTTAAAGATGGCCCATTAAAAAATAATCAAGTGAGTTGATGAAGCTTTCCATTGACAGTAATCAGATCCACCCTGCAGGTTTAATGACATGTTCAGATGTTGTTTTTGATTGTTTAAGGACAAAATGGCAACCAGTTGCTCAAAGGTACGCAAAAAAATCGATATGCAGATGTATACAACTCTGACGTGTCTTTGTACTAACTGTAAACAAAATGTGTCCAGGCATGTCTGAGAAATAATGTTGGGTGCGCACATGAAACCCAAGATACCAGTTTCTGTTTCAGACTACATTCTATAATATTTATTGAGTATATAATTGTAGAATACTCACAAATATATTTTATAATATGCAACATTGCTACATTTTAGATAAATAATACCAGTCTATGCCACAAGAGATTTGTGAGTAGGAAATCGAAGAATGAAATTTGAAACAATCCCATACATCAGGATTATTATTATGTTACATTTCTCTCAACCATTATAAAACTTGACAGAACATTTAAGATGATGATGATGATGATGACAGAAATAAAGTCATGCAAAGTATCAGTATGAAAGCCAAGGTCATATACCTCAGAAGAAGGAAGTTCAAGTTCATGCCCACGTAATTCCTCTAAATCAGAGGCTTCATCACCATATTCCATGCTGCATAAAGAATCCGGGGCTGCATGCCATCCTTTTCTACGAAAACTAAGCGATCTTCCTTTGAGTTTAGTTTTTTTTAAATCTGATGCCCCCAATCGAACAGATTGGTAATTGCCTTGTCCTCTTCTAAATGAAGGAAAAAAATGACATGATCATGCAATGTGATTTAATGAGAGTAAATAAAACTAAGTGTAATTATTTTGCTTAAGAATATATTGAGATGCTATTTACAAAACATTGATAAAATATGATACAAGTAATTGCATTACACAGCCCCGTGAGTTATCAAGTTTTAAAAAGTTACTGAGAACATACTTCTCATACATACACCATTACTGGCACAAAGCATGGGTCAGTTAATGTGAAAGCTAAAAATAACTAGCAGCCTGTCGGCTGATATACATGTAGCTCCGCTGTTTGTGATGCATGCTCTGAAAGCAATGACTAAGAAGCAATTTAAACTTAATGCTAGGTGCTTTAATATCGCAAGACACCAAGATTTTGTTGCAGAGAATATTTCACTTAAATTAGAGATTTGAAGATATCGTCATGAAATGAACAAATCTGAGAGAGGTCCACCCAAGGTACCTACATACCAAGTATCAAAGCATTTGGGCTAGCGGTTTTCAAGAATAAGTCGAAAATAGCATTTTTGACCAAAAATGACAAAAA